GTTTTCACGTCTCCCACCGCCAGCCCCACAAGGAAAGGATCCAATCGATACTTCCTCACCAAATCTTCAGCAGCAAATGCGCTACTAGTTCACTCACCAACAAAAACACAACTCCGACCGCCTCAATACCCCTCCAATTCTCCCCCACCTCGCACCGCAACCATGCTCTTCTTCAGGTAAGGAAGCGCCCGAGATCCTCAAATAAGCACCAAGGCAACCACGGCTAATACTTCCCACCATGGGGATAACTACTTTGCAGCTTCTTCAAGACCCTTACCAACCAAACGGTGACCATCGAACTCAAGAACGACATTCGCATCCGCGGCACTCTCAAATCCGTCGACCAGTACCTGAACATTAAGCTGGATGATGTCGACGTTCTGGATCTGGATAAATACCCGCATCTGTCCTCCGTGAAGAACATGTTTATCCGTGGTAGTGTGGTGCGGTATGTTATGCTGCCGAGGTCGGAGGTCGATATTGGGCTTTTGGAGGATGCGACGAGGAGAGGTATGCTTCATCCCTGGTCTCTCTATCTGATTGAAGGAACATAGATGTATCTGTGCAACCGTGCTTTGGGTTATGGATTGCTAATATTGGTGTGGTATGAACAGAAGCTGCGAACCAGGCTGGCAAAGCTCGGTGATTTCGCCTTGATTGATGGATTGTCGCTTTGTTGGTTGGGTTTCTTCTACGGATGGGATTAAAGTTTTCTTTTATGTATTTTTCTTTTTATTTCTTCTTTGATTTGCAGATTTAATCTTCACGATGTGATGATGTTTGTCGTTGTCATGCGGGTTTCACTTTTTATTATGTTGCTGATATCCATGGTTAAACATGGCGGAGAGAGAGGGAAAGAGATAGAGAGGAGGGTCTGCGTGGATGGAAAACATCGGGCCAGAGCAGACTAGCTGGACGGAGTACTGCTCCTTTGATTGGGGTTGAATTGGTTTGCTTGGAATTGCAGATGCTGAATGATGGTGATGAGGATAGGCACACCTGCATACTACATCTACTGACTACTTGGAGCACATGTCAGTGGGAGGACGAATAAGTTTACTGGGTAAAGCTCTCATGGACACATGATAAGAAGAAGAAGAACGGAGTATGCGGATACTTAGTAGTAACAAGATGAATGAAAAACAAATCACAAAGCCCATCTACTTACCACTATAAGTTACTTAGTACTCTCAATCCTCCAACTCAGTCCTAGTAACAACCGCAAATGGAAATCAATGGGTGGAACGGTCACCTGACTTCGTGTCGCGAAAATCGAGTCGAGTCTCCGCCCGCCGCGCCCGCGCCTTATCTCTTTTCGCCGCTTTGGCTAATTCGACCAGTCCGACTGCCTCAGATTCTACTCTCCGCGCTCCTCGATATCTATGAGGCAACCATCTGTACAGATACATCATTCCTATACTATACTATAATCACGACTTAGATCTATATGAATATGCTTTGACGCCCCCAATCCACCATACAAGCCCATACCCTCACGCATAAAATATCCGCCCGCCCGCCACCTTTGACCACGCGATAAAGCAACGAAAGCACACGATCAATCACCAGGCTCAAACCATGCCTACGCCATTCCCTCCTCGAAAACCATCTACGCCCTCTCGGTCAACGCCGGCGAAATCGAAAGCCACGAAACGCAACACCAGCCTTCTCAGTTTCTTCCAAAAGGCGGACGGACCGCCGAAAGCTACATCTCGGCAGTCGCGGATTACGCAATTCGCGACGAAGGCGGAGAAGAATAATACGACTGGCGATGAGGGGTCCTCGGGGGTGAGGGGTGGCAATGGGGCTGCTGGTGCCGGGGGGTTGTTTTTGGAGGATGCGAAGAAGGTGGTGAATTTTACGAGTGGTGGGGACTACGTGAGGGAGAAGACGCCGGAGGATATTTGGGAAGAGGAGAAGGAGGAAGAACGGTTTCAGGAGAATGGGGGCAGTGTAAAGAAGAGGAGGGTTGAGGAGGGTATCTCGCTGGAGGATGATATTGATAATGGGAGTGGGGAGGATAAGAAGAAGACGGAGAGCGAGAGTGGCACTGAATCGAAGTCAACTCAGAAGCCGTCTCGGTCAGTCAGCGGGCCATTCATTGATGAATCGGACAGTGAGAGCGAGGATCTGGAGCAGTTCAGGGAATACGAGAATGGGACTGAGATTGAGGCCGGGGTATCGGACGGGAAAACAAACTCGGCAGACGAAACCCAGGCTCCCGCAGTCGATGTCGACACACCACCGGTAAGAGAAGCCACGAGCCACGACGATGATGTTTACGCGAATTTTGACGATCTTGAAGAGGACGAGTGCCGAGGGGAAGAAGACTTCTTAGATGCATTTGACGATGATGAGGATTTCAAAGGCGACATTGGACTTGACGATAGTGGGATTACGGGTGAAGACTTTGGCTGTGAAGCGCCTGTGTGCCCTGTATGTCAGGCTGTTTTGACAGGCTTGTCTGAGACGGTAAGTTGTGCGGATTGTGTCTCTGGTGCTGGTGGTAATGGTTGTTCTAGGATGTCTCGGTGCATGTCAATGATTGTCTTGATGGGAAGCCTACGGAGTCGTTGAAACATGAGCCAGAAGCGGAGCCAGACCCGGACCCGGAGCCGGGACCGGAGTTGAAGTCGTCGAAAGGAATGAGTCTTGCCGACCGGGCTGCTATCGCGAGACCAGCGCAGCGTGACCCATATGCCTCCGGCGTCGCAGGAACGAGGTCGGCGTTTTCGAAGCTCATGGCCGGCAACGCGGAAGATACAGCATGGAATGCAGCGGCGGCCAACGAGGTTGCGTCCCGCGGCAAACAGGCTTATCAACGGACATGTCCGTTCTACAAGATCATCCCTGGCTTCTCCCTCTGTGTGGATGCGTTTCGATACGGAGCCGTAGAGGGGTGCAACGCGTATTTCCTCAGTCACTTCCACAGCGACCATTACATCGGCCTTACGGGGTCCTGGCGCCATGGACCAATCTACTGCAGCAGGCCTACGGCCAATTTGGTGTGCCAGCAATTGAAAGTCGACCGGAAGTGGCTTGTACCACTCGAGTTCGAACAGAAGACGGAAATCCCGGGGACGGGAGGAGCGCAAGTGACCTTGATCGAAGCGAATCACTGTCCCGGGAGCGCCATCTTTCTTTTCGAGAAATCAATGGGATCCGGCCCCTCGCAGAGGACACACCGTGTCCTTCACTGTGGTGACTTTCGCGCCTCGCCGCTGCATGTGCAACATGCCCTTCTCCGCCCGGAGATCACTGATCCTGCAACTGGCAAGGCTTGCCAGCAACGAATCGACGCCTGCTATCTCGACACTACCTATTTGAGCCCTAAGTACGCATTCCCAGGCCAAGAAGACGTCATTGAAGCTTGCGCGGACCTCTGCGTTGAGCTCGACCAAGACGCCAATGATACCAACGGCCGAGCATTCGGACGACCAGTCAATGGGAAAAGCGGAATGCTGAGCAAGTTTGTTACGGCTGTGACTGGATCCCGCCCGTCTCCAACGCAAGGAAGCCGTCCTCCGGGGCGGTTATTGGTGGTGATTGGGACGTACAGCATCGGCAAGGAACGCATTTGTCTAGGGATTGCGCGGGCCTTGAAGAGCAAAATTTACGCAACGCCAGCTAAGCAGCGGGTCTGTGCGTGCCTCGAGGATGCTGAGCTGTCATCGCTGCTGACGGACGACCCCACGGAGGCGCAGGTGCATATGCAAACGCTATTTGAGATCCGGGCGGAGACGCTGGCCGACTACCTGGACTCGATGAAGCCGCACTTCACGCGGGTGGTGGGATTTCGACCCACGGGGTGGACGTATCGACCGCCAGCTGGAAGAATGCTGGACAACCCACCGGTGTCGGTGGTGCTCAACTCGGCGCATTGGAAGACGCCCTTCTCTGCGAAAGACCTGGTGCCGCAGCGGGGGAGTACGCGGGAAAGTGCCTGCTTTGGAGTGCCGTACAGCGAGCACAGCTCATTCCGGGAGTTGAGCATGTTCTGCTGTGCCCTCCGGATCGGACGGGTGATCCCCACGGTGAACGTGGGTAGCCGGAAAAGTCGGGAGCGCATGAAGGCGTGGATTGAGCGATGGGAGGCGGAGAAACGGAAGAATGGATTGTACCGCGTGGAGGGAAGTCACTGGTAGGGAATAGACAATAAGGTACTCCGTAATAGGGTACCGCTACCAAAAGCACTCGGGGAAACCAAAGGATCCCAGAGACCGATCGGGACATATAGCTTAATGGGGCAAGTGAGGAGTAGTGCTGTAAGTAGTTACAAGTTACGAGCTGTGTACATAAGTACCTTAGTCATGAACATAATATTGTCTAGTTTCGCCTCCCCGGAGTCACGAGATCAATAATTAGAGAGCTACCATGGCCGTTTTGACCATTGACATCACTCTCACTGGTTGTACCTCGTCTATCCGCCATGGATCCATCCAAAGTATGATCCCTTTGGGGTCAGGATCTCCCACCAACCCCACGGGAATCCTCCAGAGTATCCCAAAGTATATTCGAACAAAGTTAACAACCGAGCACAAGCGGGGAAGTGCAAGGGGACCGGCGCTGCAAATCGGCTGGCAGATCAGTCGCGGCTCAGCAGAGACTCCCGACTTTCCCTTCCGTTGCCTGGCTTTGCCTCGGGGATCCAATACTGCCCGTCTGCCATAAATATGCTCCTTGCTTCAACTCAATAATAAGGAGGTGAACAATTCAACCCATCTTCTTCTCGAACAAGAAAACACTCTTCTTCATTCATGGCGATATTTGAGTGAAGTGGACTAGTTTTGATATCTTCTCATTCTCCAACCAATTTTTTTTTTTTTTTTATATCCATTACCTTATAGTTGCTTATTTCCCCTTCGGAGGTAAGTTGGTCTCCTTGGCACCCACATTCCCGGCTGCATTTTGCGGCTGAGGAATTGCTTCTCCCTCGCTGCATTTGCCGATGCTAACTTCCGAGCGCAACCAGCTAGATACCTCCCCCCACAAAAACAATCATGCTCGCCCTGCTCCTGTCACCCTACGGGGCCTATTTGGGTCTAGCCTTGCTAGTCCTCTACTATCTCCTTCCTTATCTACAACGCTCTCATCTTCGTGATATCCCCGCCCCTGGTCTGGCCGCCTTCACCAATCTCTGGGTGCTGCTGCAAACTCGTCGCGGTCATCGTTTCATCGCTGTCGATAACGCTCACAAGAAATACGGAAAGCTCGTTCGCCTCGCGCCCCGTCATACCTCCATCGCCGATGATGGAGCCATCCAGGCTGTCTACGGCCACGGAAATGGTTTCCTGAAGTCGTACGTGCCCCCTCGTCTTTTTTCATCTTCGTTCCTGGACTATCCCTGGCATATGAAACCATTCCCTGGAAGCTAACCAACTCTTGTTCCAGTGACTTTTACGATGCCTTCGTCTCCATTCACCGTGGTCTCTTCAACACGCGCGACCGCGCGGAGCACACCCGCAAGCGCAAGACCGTCTCCCACACCTTCAGTATGAAGTCCATCGGCCAGTTCGAGCAGTACATTCACGGCAACATCGAGCTGTTCGTCAAGCAATGGAACCGCATGGCCGATACCCAGCGCAACCCCAAGACCGGTTTCGCCAGTCTGGACGCCCTGAACTGGTTCAACTACCTGGCTTTCGACATCATCGGTGACCTGGCCTTCGGCGCTCCCTTCGGCATGCTTGACAAGGGCAAGGATTTCGCCGAGATGCGCAAGACTCCCGACTCGCCCCCTTCCTACGTTCAAGCCGTCGAGGTCCTGAACCGCCGCGGTGAAGTCTCCGCCACCCTGGGTTGCTACCCGGCCCTGAAGCCCTTTGCCAAGTACATCCCCGACAGTTTCTTCCGTGATGGTATCCAGGCCGTCGAGGACCTGGCCGGTATTGCCGTCGCCCGCGTCAACGAGCGTCTCCGCCCCGAAGTCATGGCCAACAACACCCGTGTCGACCTGCTCGCCCGCCTCATGGAAGGCAAGGATGGCAACGGTGAGAAGCTCGGTCGCGCCGAACTTACCGCCGAAGCTTTGACCCAGCTGATCGCCGGATCCGATACCACCTCCAACACCTCCTGCGCCATCCTCTACTGGTGCATGCGCACGCCCGGTGTGATCGAGAAGCTCCACAAGGTCCTGGACGAAGCCATCCCTCAAGACGTCGACGTCCCCACCCACTCCATGGTCAAGGACATCCCCTACCTCCAATGGGTCATCTGGGAAACCATGCGCATTCACAGCACCTCCGCTATGGGTCTCCCCCGTGAAATCCCCGCCGGTAACCCCCCCGTCACCATCTCCGGCCACACCTTCTACCCCGGCGATATTGTCTCCGTGCCCAGCTACACCATCCACCGCTCCACCGAGATCTGGGGCCCCGATGCCGAGCAATTCGTCCCGGAGCGCTGGGACCCCGCCCGCCTCACCCCTCGTCAAAAGGCCGCTTTCATTCCCTTTAGCACCGGCCCCAGAGCCTGTGTCGGTCGCAACGTGGCAGAGATGGAACTCCTGGTTATCTGCGGTACGGTCTTCCGTCTTTTTGAATTCGAGATGCAGCAGGAGGGTCCCATGGAGACGAGAGAGGGTTTCTTGAGGAAGCCCCTCGGACTGCAGGTCGGTATGAAGCGGAGACAGCCTGGTTCGGCTTGAACGAATGGTTGTGTTATACCCGCCAATGGAGATATCCGAAGGAGCCGTCCGTTCCCCCCGTGCATAGAATATTTCCCGGAGAAAAGGGTGGGCGCGACGATGGAAGAGTTTCGATTCTGATGTATATGTATAAGCGAGTTGCGAGAATGGATTAGTATATATTTACATAGCTAGCATTCATACATGCAATGAATGACATGATGAGATGATTAATTTCATTATTGATATTTTTCTTGACACGCGTCTATTCATACAGTGGTTTCTTCTCCTCTCAACGCTCGAATTGATAAAAATGTGAACAGGTAAACTAACTTACACTCAGCTGAATTCCACATGATCTATCACACGTCTTACAGAAACAATTCTTCATGGAAGACACCGTCATAGAAACCCCATAAACAAAGCAAACTGATATGTCACAAGTATTCACATTATGGATTACACTAATAGCTTAGCAGAGATAGGGGGTCGTGATCATAGCTGCGTAGCATATACACACAAAAAGAAGAAGAAAAGAGTCCATTCACCTTTCATCATCATCAATACACACATCCCAACATACACCTCATCCAATCCTGCAACTCACTACCAACTCTTCGGTCCAAATGTCTGCCCCGATGGCACGACCTTCTGCACCGCCGTACCCGCCATATCCATAGTAGCTCCTGTAATACTAGTACCCCACCAAGTCGGGAAACTAGTACCGGTCAAATCGAGGGTCAAGAAAATCAGGATGGTACACAAATCCAATCCGACATCCAGACCCGCCGACAGGACATAGTTGTAGTGCATCCACCAGCCGCGCCAGCGGTCCCGGATGTACTTGTTGAAAATGAGACCCACCAGACCCCAGGTGAGATAGTTGAGGGGAGTGGCGGGGGGAATCAGACCCGCACCGCCGAAGATGAGCGGGGCGTTGAGGAAGCGGATCTGGCTCTTGGGGTACATGCGTGCGCCAATGTAGATGACGACGGGGAGGAGGGCTCCGGCGAGCCAGAACCACATGAGGCCGGAGTAAAGCTGGCCCGGGGAGAAGATGCGCTGGGGGCCGATCAGACCCCAGATCACGGAGGCTTGGTAGAAGACACGGCCGTTGGGGCAGCTGTAGTTGTCGGCTTGGGTTTCGCTGCAGACGTCTTTGATGGTGGCGAGACCCCAGTTCATCACAGCGATTTGGACGACGGAGGACCACAGGGCGGCGATCATTTGGGCGGCGAAGGTGACTCTTGGGGGAAGTTTCATGTAGTGCGCTGGGGAAGGGTTAGTGGGTTGCTTTTGACGTGTGGGGGTGAGGGATGAGTGCTTACCTAGTTTCATGTCCTGGTTGAAGTAGAGTCCTTGGTACATGCTCATGTAGCCGTAGGTCTTGAACAACATCATGGCCATGGGCTTTCCGGGCTGGATGTAGCCGACAATGAACTCCGTCAAGACGTTCAGACCGATGGCGATGTTGGTGGCGGCTTGCACGATACCAATGGGAACGTACCACACCACAGCCATGATCAGAGAAACGAAGAATGCCCACCAGCTCAGGTGAGTGGGGTATCCCAGGACCATGCCCAAACCAATACCAATCATGATCAGGGTGACCGCGGCATACCACCAGAGGGGCACCGGCTTGTACTTGGACATCAGGCGGGCGTGGACATCCTCCTCTTCCTTGCCAAAATTGCGGAAACGCACCCACAGTTCTTTACCGTGGAACAGACCGGTGTGGATGAGGATAGCAATGATGGTCGCAAATGACAGTCCGTAGCAGAGACTGAAGGTGGTGGATAGGAAGAGTGGCGAGTATTCCTTGTACGCCTGAATATTGAGAGTGAAGTCGCTGTTCATGATCCTGGACACATTGTACTGCGCACCAGTGTTGTCGTAACTGTTCGAATCGCTGATGGGCAAGTACTCGAACCACCACATGCCGCTGTAGTGCATGCCAATGGTGACAATCCAGAAGAAAATGAACATACCAATAAGGGTGTTGGCAATGGCGTGCCAAGGGGCGATCAGGGGACTGAAGTTGAAGCCAGAGATTTGCGTCCAGTCAAAGGTCATAGGAATCAGGGACAGGCCGGTATCACCGCCAAAGAGCTGGTTGACCACAGCATTTTGGGGTTTGATCCAGGTCACCCAGGCGAAGACACTGAGGAACGGGGCGATAACGCCGGGGATCCAGTACCAGCAGAAGGACCCGATCATAACGTAGAGGAAGAAACGGTACTTGCCAATCCTCCATCCGGCTACCTTGGTGGGATCGGGTCTACTGTGGTCATGAAGCGCCGAGAACAGGGTGCAGTTGATCAGGTTGGAAGGCCAGATCATGGCAGCTGGAGTGACCAGGAAGCGGTGGAAGAACCCGGCCATACCAAACCCGAGCATCTGAGTCGAGATACACATGAAGATCTCAAATGCCCATCCGAAACGCTGCTTGTAGAAGGCACGCTGGGCCAACAAAACGTCTGTCGCATAAGCCGCACCACCGCCGAAGGTAGCATTAGCCATGACGACAATGAGACAATGCTCCTTCTTGCTGAAGGGGCCGGGGTTCGTGTTGCACTCGATTCCAAAGACGCGGAACTTCTTGCTGGGAACGAATTTCGCCCATGCGACACCAACAGGGTAGGCGACAACCTGGGCAACGTAGGAAGGAATAACAATGTAGGGGTCACGCATGGAGAACAGCATGTTAAGCGCCGAACCGATAGTCGCAAAGATCAAACCAATGGTCCAGGCACGAAGGGTGTTGGTGTGCCCTCCTTCATCGTAGTTGGGCACGGCCGCACGCACCTCGGGGTACGGTGAATTATCGAGGAGCTCCTGCGTGATGCCGACGCGGGCACCCTTGTCATCTGTATGAAGGGCCTCATCGATCTCATCGGCAATATCGTCGGGAAGGTTCGGATCCCAATGGTGCTGTTCCTTCAGGTTCTTGAGATGGACGGTGGCTGCCTCCAGGGAGGATTCATCAGCCACCGCCGTGCTGAAAGCCTGCTCCTTTTCACTCATCGCGGCAGTCGACGAGGCAAAAGCACGAAGAAAGGCTTAGGGGAAATTCAATGAAGATAATAGAGCATGCGCGGAACTCTTCCACTGGTTCAGAGGAGAAAACAACGGAATCTAAAAACGGGGGCGGATGAAAGCATCATATAACCACTCACTTTACCCTCTCCTGGATCGCAACGACAAGAGGCGCAAATAGAGCCGACGGTAACCCGACGCCTTATCGGACTAGGAAATAAATTAAACGAGCTGGTGGCGTCCACTGATTGCGGGAGAGTTTATCTCTCCAGTTATCAGTTACCCCAGTCTGTTCGCCATGTTCCGATGTAACCTGAATGTGTCTTAGCTTTGGTAGTAGTTGGATTGGATTTGGAACCAGTCGTGCGTTAGCTAGTAGATCCAGCCAGTGGCGGACTTGAGAGCGCATTCGCCATTGTCAGCCCATGCACGACATGCACGGCCCTCGAGGAATGCTTCCATCCCTACCCTCCTTGCAATTTGGCTGCCTAGGCAATTCCAGATGAGGGAGTCTCAGTCTCGCGCAGACCGATAAGTTGCACCGAAGCGCATAAGGCGCGCCCCTCCGGTGAAGGAGCTAGCCCCAGAACCTAAAAATTGGGGCAAAAGGAAGTCCTGTCCACCGTCCGGTCCGGTGAGCCAGCTGAATTACTACGAGTGGAACGGGAGAGCTCGATCGCAGTCGACCCAGGTGGGGATTTGGTCATTCGAGCGTTCTCATTGACGGGAATTGACACGCGACCAAAGGCACACGTGCACTTGATTCGGCGATTTAAACCAGGAAAGAACAAGCTACCACTAGGGTGCCTGCAATACGTCTGAAGGGGGAGGGGGGAAAGGGTGCCCTTGACCGGAGGTATGTCTCGGATGTGAGCGAAAGGATCGGGGGTTGGGGTGGTGGCAAGATGGGAAACGAGACCACGCAAGTGGTTGTGCTGGACGAAGAGGAATCCCAATGCAAACCAGTTCCTAAGAGATAAAGAAAAGATTACCAACGAATATCGGCGGAAAAAGCAACGCTGATACGGCGGCAGCAGAAGGGCAAGACATTATGGACACTTTCCCCGGGTCTGGTCCGGCGGACTAGCCCCTTTTGCACCAGGCTTGTTTGCGATAAGCTAGCGAAGCGCCGGCGGGCTTCACACGGCGAATTGGCTGGCGCAAATGTATTCGAGCTATCGTCCACACGGCTTCAGCGAAAGCCAATCGGGGATTGTCTGGACTTGGCATTGGTCTAGCCGAGGTTTTTCCTTGGATGTTCTTCTAAGTTCTCGCATCGCGTGGCATTCTTCGTGTTTTCCTCTTTCCCGTGCAGAATTCTTGTCGATCGAGTCGGTCGCGCCGCGGACTGGGGCAAAGGTCATCCAGGTGTGATCGAAGCCACTCAGCACGAAGATCGCATTTCCACAGTGACATGACCAGGACCACAGTTTGCTCCTGCTCTTCCGTTATCATGCACTAGTCCATGACAAACCAGCCTCGACCATTGGACAATGCGCGGACTGTTTTTGGGGCTGGCGGGGACGGAGGATGAACTGGGACTGATAAGCAGCTGAGCACTTCTAGACATTGAATGGACACAGTCAATCCCCAGATTGGTCCATGCCAAACTAGTCGCAGACCAAGTGTATCATATCGACGTAAATTAAATTAGCACCTGCCTTCTTCTGCTTAGTTGGATGGTGTGGAAGAGCCCTATCCACCCCATCGTCTGCCACTAACGGCACGGCGGGATGCACCGTCCCCAGTTAGCCTTCCGGGCTGCATGGAAACATGGAACATGGCATTTTGCCATCAAGAGGGGGGTAGAACCTCATTCTCGAAACATCCCCCTCCCCCTGACTATTAAAGGATTGTCCCCCTTGCTGAAGCCATGTAACCCCGATTTAGTGCGTGTGTGTGTGACAGGGGTAGTTGATCAGGAAGCAACTTGAATCAAGTGAGAAGAGAGAGAAAGAGGAAGGAGGCGAAAAGGAAGGAGACAA